ATCCTCACTGCGCTTTGGGGAAACCCTGCTGGGGGCTCCTGTCACAGGGAAACTGAGGCACAGAGCGCCCCATGACTGGCCCGAAGGCCGGAAAGCAAGGAAGCGGAGGAACCCGAACATGAGCCTTGCCCCGTCAGGGAGCTCGGGGGGCAGCAGGCCACTCCCCAGCCCAGGCAGAGCCCAGGGCCACTAACGCCAATGCTATTACCTCCTCTGGGTTTACCTCTTCGACGGCAAAAAATCAGAAATGAATCAAAAAGCCGAAGCAGGAGGGGAGGGTCAGGCCGGGGCCGTCAGCACCCGGGGACTCTGACTCTGTGCCTGAGACCGTGGCTGAGACGGGGCCGGACCTGCCCAGCCTCCTGCCGAAGTGCTGGCACCAACCCAGCCACTCCCAGCACCATAGACCAGCCTGTCCAAGGGGAGGAGCAGAGCACCCTGGGAGCTGGGACCTCAGACGGAGCAGTCCCCACAGGGCGGGCACCTGGGTCCCATTCAGTCTACAGCTCAATGCTCGCCACAGCCTACCAGTGCGACAGGGGTAAACTGAGGCACCAGAGAGAGTGCTGGCCTGAGTTCACACAGGCAGGAAGGGGCCTCCAGGAGCCACTCACCCGACTCCACAGCGAACTAAGGGCTTTCCCAACAGCGGAGGACGTGGACAGAGGTTACATCACCGGCCGGTGAGGCCGAGCCGGGTGAACCCCAGACGTCCGGCCCAGGCCGGTACCTGCAGTGCCACGTACCTCAGGGAAGTGAGGGCGCTGCGGGCACCCCAGACAGGCCCCTGGGTTCAGGTGGGGACTGCAGAGCTAAGTGAGGCTCCGAGCCTCAGAGGGAGAAGGTGGCACCTAGCACAGAGGGTGCATGGAGGGGACGATCCGCACAAACTGTGTCCTTCACACAGGGCCTGAGGGGCCCGGCCCCGGAGGCCCTTCGTGGCCACTGGGCTCTGACGCAGGGAGAGTGACCTCTCACGGTCCCATGGCCAGGAAAGGGCAATGCCGACTGGGAACCTGGGCTGGTCTCAGCGCCAAAACCAAGCCCCCGACATCTGCCACAACCTCTGACATAAGGCACAGCCTCCAAGCGCGCCTGCGGCTGCCCCTCCACCTGCTCCCTGCCACCTCCCCGAAGGCCGCACGGACCCGACAACCAAGCAGTCTTGTCCGTGCCAGTGTCCTCTGCCTTCTGCCTCGGCCGGACCACGGCTGCCTGGTGACCGCGGGTCTGGCACAGAAAACCTTGCCCAGGAAGGGCGGGGCGGAGCCCACAGGCAGGCGCCCCCTGAGGCAGAGTGGGACTCGGCCCTGACCTGCAGGGGGAGCCTGGCAGTGGGCGGGAGTTCACAGCCAAGGGAATTCACCCACCAAAGGTCACGTGCTCCCGGCCCGCACACACTCGGGCTCTCCCTGCCCCTGTCCACGTCTTATCTAACAGGCTCACAGGACACCGCCAGCACTGGGTGGGGCCGGCTTCAGGGGAACGCGTTTAAGGGTCGCCGCCCCCATGACGCGCGTCTGGCTGCAGGTCCGTGCCCATCTGCAGAGATGAGGAAGCTGCCTCCCAGGGTCCTGACTTTCCCATCGGGAACGACTGGGGCCCTAGCTGGGTGGGATAGAGCGTCGGCCTGCGGACTGAAGGGTCCCAAGTTCAATTCCTGGCAAGGGCACGTGCCAGGTTTGCAGGCTTGATCCCCAGTGGGGGGCGTGCGGGAGGCAGCCGATCAATGATTCTCTCTCATCATCTCTCTCTCCCCCTCTCTGAAATCAATAAAGATATACTTTAAAAAAAGAACGCCTGCTGAGTTTTAGGAAATGCTTTTCCCTTCAGTCATAAAACTGACTTTTTAAAATGGAGAACAGAAAACCCAATCACTAGCCTTATTACAGAAAGAGTAGGACCAGAGGATGCTCAGCCTGCAGGCAGAGTCCCGCTCCAGCCAGCCCCCCGGTGGGCGGGGCCAAGGCGTGGGGCCCAAACCGCCCAAAGAGCAGCTCGGTGGCTGCCTGAGTGCTGCTCAGGCTCCGTGCGGCCACCTCCAGGCAAGGACCTGGGACACAGGCGTCTCCATCCGCACAGGGAACCGGCGAGCAGACGCCCAGCCTGGCCCTGGAGCCAGTCGGCAGTGCCCGAGCCCCGCCAGCCTGTGCAACGGCTCCTGCTCCCACTGCCCAAGGGCCGGCTGGTGAGTATTTCCAGCTTGTGGGCCGGCCGGGGGTCTGTTATCACCCAGGTTGGCCACTGCAGGGTAAGAGCTGTGTAAACCGTGGGCAATGCGTAGGCACAGCTGGGTGCCAGTAAATATTTACTGTTTTAAAGTATATATATTTTTATTTTAGAGAGGGGGAAGGGAGTGAAACATCAATGATGAGAATCATTGACTGGCTGCCCTCTGCACGCCCCACACTGGAGATGGAGCCTGCAACCCGATATGCCGACCGGGAATCGGACCATGACCTCCTGGTTCATAGGTTGCCACTCAACCACTGAGCCACGCCGGCCAGGCAAGTGCCAATAAACATCTAGAAGGCAGGCGGGGCCCACACTGGCCCTGGGTGTCACTGGCCGACCCTACTACAGGGCTGTCACAAAGGCCACCAGGCAACCCAAAGCACCACACCAAGAAGTGCCTGGCACAGGAGCTGGGGGGGGGGGGGCTCCCCAATGATAACTGTGCAGGACACATGGGTTTCCGGGGAAGAGCCTACCTGGGAGCGGCTCCCAGACACTGATACTTAGAGGTCAGTGTGCGTTACACCTCAGTTTCCAAAATGTCAGAGATGCAACGAATCTACCCAAACCGCTGTGGGGGAGCCCTGGGGACGAGCGGGCACCCAGCCCGAGGTGCTGCCCTCTGGAACCCCACGTCGCCACCACTCTGCCAAGTGAAGAGCTGCCCAGTTTCTAAAAGGCGTCCTCCGGAGCCACGCCCCAGCGGGCAGACCCCCTGCCCCAACCCCCACGCAGAGCACCTGTCAGCCCACCTCTGGGCAACGACTCAGGCGGCCTGAGGCCCCGCCCCCGCGCAGCGGCATGGCCCCTCCCACCCCAGGCCTGGGTCCTAACTTACACCCCGCCTGTCGGCAAGTCCTGCCCGATTTCGACAGCCTGCCCTGCGGCAAGTCCTGCCCGATTTCGAAAGCCTGCGAGCTCACTTCATGGCGTATAAATACGGCACGAAACCTCACTGTCCAGGCCTGGGAAGGTCAGGGCGGGTGGCATGGCCGCTCAGAAGGTGTGGTCGCTGCTGCTAACCACAGCGCAGAGTAGAACCTTCCAGAGAGCGGACAGCCTGCGCAGCCTAAACATCTCCTCTGGCCCTGCCCACACGGAGGGGTGCTGGCCCAGGCCTGCTGCCACCTCCCGGCTGATGGTGCACTCGCTGCGGGTCAGGGGGGGACGGGGTGGGACGGGGTGGGACGTGGGGTTCCCGCACCAGAGTCCACGGAACAGAGACAAAACTGGGGGAACACCTGGTGGTGGGCCCCAGGACCCACACTAGCTTCCCCTGTAACCAAGTAAGCAGCTCAAACTGGCCGAATCCTGTTTCCAAGATACCGCGATGTCCTTGTAAGTCTTACATGTCACACGGCCCAGCATGCACACAGAACTGACCTCCAGGGACACCCAGAGCCAGAGCGGGCTGACGGACTCCATCCCCTGGACCTTCCCCACGGAAGGGGCTGCTGTGGGAAGACCGCCGCTCGCCAGCCCGCCCTTCCTCACCCTTCAGCCCACCGCACCCTCCCAGGGAGGCCGGTTTGAGCCTGGCCTCCTGTCCTCCTGCCTGCTGGCCTCACAACAAAGCCTTTCCTCCGAAAAGCTGGCCTCGTGGATCTTAGGGGTGGAAGGCTCTGAGGGGAACTGTGACAGAATAGTAAAAGCCAGGAAAATACCAGAACCGACAGAACAGGGAAACTGAGGCAGGTGTTAAAAAGCAGTTTGTGTCCACCTAGCAAATCCGATCTTCCCTAAACCAAGGCCACTGGAGAGGAAATGGTTTGCAAGTCTCCCCAACCAGAGGGTAAGTAGCTGAAGCCCCCGCACTCAGGGAGGCAGAGACCGGAAGTCCAATGAAGTGCCATGAAGAGAATGAGCTCGTTTTGGTCCATCAGCACGAAGCTGGTGAACATCCTATCGATCCGCCCGGAAGACCGCCCCTCAGCAGCAGGTCTAAAAGCCCCTGAAAGTGACGCCCCGTGCACTCTCCCTCCAGGAGCCCAACGTGCCATTCCTTCCCCGCTCGCCCCTCCCACCATAGCCCTGACCTCCAGGGGACCCCATGAGACTTCACCGGGGGAGCCACGGGCAGTGGCAGCACCTCCCGGGCTGACCCCTGAACCCCCCTTTTCTCGGAGGCCGCCCAGCCCCGGCTCTCCTGCTGCTTCCTCCACGCCCCTCCTTGCTGCAGGCTCCTAAGTCTGTCTGCTGTGGTCAGTAACGTCCTGCTTGCTCTCCTGCACTTGGTCTCGATGGAAACCTTCCCCTCAAGGGGACAAGAACCGAGGCTGTGTCTGCCCAGTGGACCTTTGTGGTTTAAACCACATCAGCCGGAGCTCAGGGCCCCGAGTCTCCGATGGCCCGCTCCTCGCGGTGTATACCTTCAACAAACCCCACTTTGCTTTACGTTAAAAAAAAAAGCACAAAACCCACGATGTCCTGAACTGTCTTCTCTGGGTGTGGGCCTGAGCCCCTGGGCAGTAACCGACTGCGCACGCACGCACGCACACGCACGTGCACACACACTTGCACGGCCCCCGGGCCCCGAGCCGGGGCCATTTTTTTCCCACACTGGCTGGGTCCTGGCCCCGCCACCAACAAGCTGTGCTGTGCATCCCCAAGCGGACAGCTCACCCGCTGGCCCCGTGCCACCTCTGCCAAGGGGGGAGGCCCCCAGCTCCAAAGGTCTGGGGGATGGAGGAGACGCGCCCAGAGCACTCACTCTGCTTCCCAAGCAGCCAGCCGGGCTGGGACAGGCGGGCCGGGCCCCCACTCACCAGGCACGTAGACAGAGGGGTTCTCCGACATGCCGGGCAGGGGCTGGTAGTCGTGAGGCCTGCGGATCTTCAGCGACTGGCCCTGGAAGATGATGCCGTCGAAGGCCATGGCCTGGGTGGTCTCGTCCACTGAGCGGAACTGAAGGAAACAGACCGGGTGGAGGGGCAGGCGTGAGCCGTCAGGGAGCAGCGGCAGGAGCCCTGCGCAAACCGGCGACTCGCCCCTCCCCGCTCACCTCCAAGAAGGCAAAGTTCTTGTCCTGGTTGATCTGCACAGCCAGGACGGGGTTGCCCGGGGCCTGCGTCAGCCCACCCAGGCGCATCTGGGCGTTGAAGAAGTCCATCATGGCCTCCTGCAGAGGGAAGAGGAGACAGGGAGGGGCGGGGAAGGGGGTGG